AAGAAACATTGCATTTCAGAGTGAAATTTCACTAAAAACCATGAGATTCTTGGGAGTCTTATTTTCGAGAGAATCGTGAGACTCACGGCAGAATCGCGAGCTTGGTCGAAGAGCAGTTGCTGATCTTTTCGTCGTGTTCATCGCCTGGACGAGTCAAAAAGCTTCAAAAGTTCATAAGCGTCTGTCAAAGTTGGCCATCGCCCTAATTTGAAATATTCAAAGTCCACATGAAGACAATCGTCCTGTGACTCCTGTGAAATGTACAATATCAGCACATCGCGGAACGGGAACTATCTACGACAGTTGTCGTTTTGATATCGGGCGCTTTCGTGTGGAGCCGACTGATTCACGAAAGGTGTCTACATCTGAGTGAGACATTTGCATATCGCAATGCCGACAATAACTTGTTCCTTACGCTACGAGTAATCCAAAAGTTAAAAATAGGTTGCACATATCAACTTTGGCCCAACTAGTAATAGACAATACAATAAATATACTGTTATTTACAAATTATTAAAAAACAGCCAACATGTCCATTGCCGTTTCTTTCAGTTACCCTGGAGAATTAACAAATCAACGTAACATTTTTGTAACATTTTTTTTTTCACTTTTAGAAATCACGTTACAAGCAATTCCACATTTTACTTTGTACTATAGTAAAAAGTGAATAGTAGCGAACAAATTAAAAGTAATCTTTAAGTTTATATTGCACCATACGGTTTTATTCACAGGTTGATAGCCTTGGCCACTCACTATTAGACTAGTACGAGATCAGGACCTATTAATCTCTGTTTGTTTTCCCTTTCCTGTGTTGCTGGTGAACGTGGTTAAGTGATGTCTTCAAGGGACTTTTCCCTTTTGAGATTTTTTTTTATGGGTACATACGCATGTAAATAAGGTGAAATTACTATGTTTTATTTTGATGGCCTAGGTAAACATTTCATGGAAAGCTCTGTTAACGAAGACTTGTTCACTTAGATGCATCCAGCTGAATAATGTCACAAGACCTACATTGGGAAAAGAAAACATACAACACTGAAAAGGTCTACTCACATCAACTTTTCACGAGATGGGGAGATTGTTTAATTACTTATCATTTCCTTTTTTTTCTTTCTTACAAAAGAGGTGTATCTTGGAACCCCCCGGTTTCGCTTTTTATTAAAGTGCACAAACAAGATTTTTAGACCACTCCCAGGTCTCGCGTGAGACTGGGTCATTACTGTGACGAATAGTACTATGGGATTGTTTTGGGGACGTCATCTCTTGTTTTGTTGATTAACAAAAAATTGAGAAAGAGACTCGGGTAAACGTTCGTCCCCAAAACAGTTTCTAAACAATTATTGGATGAGGTTTTTGTGATATCCAGAATAATTAAGGTGAGGTAGGGGTTATCAGCGGAAGCCGAAGGCCGAGGCTGATGACGTTGATTATTCTGGATATCACAAAAACCAAATCTAATAATTGTATTACTATACATTGAACGAATTCTTTCTTTATTTTCTTGCTTCGACATAAAATGTATGTTTTAAAAGTTTGTGCCAACTCTTTCTT